TGCATGGATGACAGGAAGTAATGACAGAACCTTTTCCTGGCAGTTAACGTTAGCTCTTAATTAACTCCAACAGTCTCTGGACAGTCTCAGTGTGTCCTTTGACAGCAGCTATCCCCAGAGGAACACTGCCATACTGCATTACCAAGTGCCAAGGTGGATGTCAGCTTCCTGCCGAACTAGGTAGGTCCACTACTCTGTGTGGCCATACTCAAAAACTGGCACATACACTGGACTACAAACCACAACTTTTCTCACAAGGAAACAGTTAGCTACATGGCAGGGTCATTGAAATTAAGGGACGACCTCCCCTCTAGCTTATAAACAAGTTGAAAATTCTTTCTTAAATGGGAAGATTTATGGAAGAGTTTCTTTGCCAAAGCAATTGAAAATAGGGACTCCTTGGAAACTTCTTTCACAATTGTCTTTGTTTGGTACCTCTGAATAAATGGTACCTCCGCTATCAAGGGACACTTGGTTCTGGTCCATACTAATTGTACTCCAAATAAGGAATGCCTTCTTTAATTAAACAAAAGTCATTATTCACTGTGAAAAGTTTGCTCATTGTTTATCCAAACTTACAACCTACAACTTACTGGTTTGCTGCTCTCAAAAAACTACGAGTGTCGGCAATAATATGTGACATTATGATCGAGGTCCGGTGTGGTAAGGAAACTTCGAAAACCATCTCGTTCGTTACTTTTTAAAATGTGGAGTTCTGAACTTCGTTGACACTGTCTGGTCCTCATGGCAGGTTGTCAGATATGCGGGTTATTTCCACATCTACTCTTTCTTTTCCTTTCTTTTTCGCACACGGCAACACAAATTCTACCGTTTCCTCAGCTCTGAAGTTGGATCAGCTCTCCAGTCTGCACCTAGTAGGATCACTACAATCTGTGTGGCCTTCACCTTACGAGTCGACACTACAATGGACTCCAACCCTATCCTGTGTAATACTCAGAGTGCTCTGCACCATTCAATGTAAGTCATCTGTGTTTCTTACCCCTGTCACCCAGATGTTGACATCAGCTTCTCTCTCTCAGCAGAGTAGTCTCACTCTTGACGCATCATCGACACCTTCGAATGAGGCGTCGTAAAGCGGGGTCCGTCCATTCTCTGTGTTCTATAAATAAGACTGTGAGTTTATACGCATACATAGCACAACAGGATATATTGCGCTGGGTGGGTGTAGTTTACATGTGTATCAACACTAGGTCGCGAGGGGATAGAAAGGACAACAGGCAAAGTCAAACAAGTCAACTACACCCAGACAGCTCGTTATCTTTGAAGAGCTGCCTGGGGTGGATTTGACCACGACCTCTCTGCAGTCTAGGCAAGCGCTCTACCAACGTGAGCTATAGCCAGAGCAACCATCTGGTAGGGTCGATTCATAGCACACAATCTACAATCACAAGGTAAACCTCAAACACTGTGCTATCGGTCCAGTACAACTCTGTCACTCAGTATGTAGAGAGGCAGACCGTAATTAAACCACAAAAATACTCCACTCCAAACTGAGTAGGATTACCCTGTAGTGTGTCACAACGAGGTTAGCGTTGCATGCTGTCACATATTCAGAGTATATTGCAGTGTGTGAGTATGACATATGTATCAGTCACTGATGTATATCTAATCGAGATATATCTCTGATCTACACCACAAAAGATGAGTCACAACATCTATGACACCTAAACTTTGCGTGCGTGTGCCATAGAGAGGGGGTGGGGGCTGGCAAACAATGCCACGATACTATACCTTGTCCTGGTGGTTGTGAGTTAGCTCGCTGCCTCCTAACAGTCTCTGAACTGTCTCTGTATGGCCATAGATAGAGGCATCCTCAGAGAACACTCGCCACTTGTAAATATGAGAGATGAGAGACTTCTATCAGTAATACCAGTAAGACGAGACATATGCACAGTACTCAACAAAATCGATGTGTTAGTCACATCTCACTCCCGTTCATAGGAAAGCAAAAACGACTTGAGAACAAAGATTGTGTGGAATGTGATACTTAGCTGACTGTAGGCGTGCTATGTGCAGCGAGGCGTTACAGATACTTGAGTCTCGTCTATGTATCTAGACAGGCACAGAAGTCACAAACGACGCGCTGTATCAACTCCGCATAGCTATCGACTACTGTGAGCTAGCCGTGTCAGACTCTCCACGCTACCAGTGGGAGACCACGAGTACACATGACTTAGCCCAGCCCATCAAACGAGCGGTATCAACGCGCATGCACAGTGTTCGCTGCACGGGTTTGCACTCAGTGCTTTTCATTCATAAAAATGTGGCCGGCTCAACATGGCTCGTTCAGTCTGGTGGAGCTACAGTAGCAAATTTGACTCTACGTCGCATGTCGATGTGTCAAACGTGTCATGTATAACATCACAATGGTCTGCTTGTTGGGGTTAGCTCCTAGTCAAAAGTCTCTGGGCAGTCTGAGTGATGTCCTTTCTGGAAGCTATCTAACCCAGAGGAACACGCCCCATACTGTGTGAGGGATAATGATGTAATGAGCAAGTGATACCCTTTAATACGGAAGAGCATTGAAGCTGCTATTCCGAATTCGGCTCAACTCTTTTCACTCCATCCCTCTACGTACTTGCTTGTATCGCACGCTGTGTAAGGATGTTAATGTTCCCACGGTTTATACCTCTGCAGGTATCTTTCCCCTCTCTCTGACCAGATGCACAGACTGATAGTATCTAGTAATAGTATGGGAACTACACGTCAAATGTCCTTTGTCTAGTGTGTCTTAAACGTTGGAGGGTCCTTTTAAAGGATTATGCCTAATCCTACGCTCTTACTATAATGTGATATCTAACAGTCAGAGCTGGCCAGATATCAGCTCCTGCCGACTAGTAGGTCCACCATTTCAGTCATGCAACCGTTCAGGCTGGCTGCATCAGAACACTGACAAACCCATCCTGTAGGAGATAGAACACCTCCAGCTTGTAAAAGACGTAAACAAGAAGCTCGTGAAGCATTACAGTTAGAGGTCTCATGACTAGCGACACAAGGGACAGCCCCAAGAGGCCTATCTATCCATTGACTAAATCTAGACCGCGAATCCTTTATATAGCTCCAAACGCTTGATGATTGACAGTACACAACCTTTACGCCACGTCTCGCATCACGACTCTCTGCTCTCCTCCGCAGTGTCTCATTATTGCCACATGACCAGGTCACAGCAGTGTAGAGTGGTGTGATGACTTGTGTGAGCTACTCCTGCATCGTCATTATATGTTACCGTTTGTTGGTCCTTTGTCAGAGTATAATCAGTGTCTTCAGTTTGCTATACAATCTATGTTAACCACAAAGTTCTGTGCGTTAAAACTGCCCATTACTTACTGTGACGTGCGTATTATTAATGTGTGGACACATCCATGCTTTAAATTCAGTCCCACTGATGTAGTACCACATTATAGCTACCATGAACATGTAATTCTTGCTGAGAAAGCAAACTATATATCCTCCTATAGTGGACCTGTCCTATTGGCAAGTATCACAACTGGATTGAGCTATGCACGATAGCTAATCGCTGGCTGCATAGAGGGCACATATACTCACCTGGCTGATCTCTGGAGTTGAGCATTTAGTGTGACTACATGTACGCCATGAAGAAACCATACTCACGTAGCCACCTCTCCTCTCTAGCTGCTTCATGTAGACTCATGCATGCTAGAAAGACCATGACGCCAAGAGTAAAAAAAGATGAAGCTCGGACAGCGTGTTCACGGCGCTTGTTGGCCTCATCAGGCTATGAGCATATGCAACTTCTCTCTCTGGCATCACCAGTTTATAAGGCTAACAGAGCAGTGTAGCACTTCTGCTGACCATTTTCAAAAATTTCAGGTGAATCGTTGGCAAAAATGGCAAACAGACATAATATTCCCTGATTAGAAACAGATAGATGCACGATGTTTATACATGCCTTTCCATTCCCATAAATTTCATTAAGGGCCTGGTTATTACTTGAAAATTAAGTCTATACAACATGCTTTACCTCCAGCACTGGAAGCTGATCCTACTGTAGAGGGCAGTATTCTTCAGTTCCCAATTATGTAGCAGGCTGGGGCAGCTGGCTCTCTCATGGTTCTGGACACTCCAGATGACTGGAGAAGACGTGGGACTGGAACCGTTGTCATATCGATTTCGCTCTCGAATTGACTCTTGACTTAGGAATTGAGCGTTAGGTCTGTAGGGTACTCATCCTCTGTGTGGCGGAGTGGGGTTTCTGGTAGCATTGGATGAATTTGACTTTCTGATAGTGAGGCTGGGATAAGGGCCTTGGTGGTTGTAGCCTAGTTTCCCTGGGCTGGGGCATAGGGTTCCGATCTCATCCTGGACACGACATATTGTGACTTGGTGGTGTTTAGGGGTTTTTTGCTGGACAGGTCTCGAAGTGCGGGTGAGCCGAAAGGACCGCGTGGTCGGGGGTGCACGGAGCGACTCCGGCAGACCCGACGCCGTGAATGCGGGCCTCAAATATGCTTCATAGAGGCGGGTGTAGGGTCAAGAAGTCAGGCGCAGGGATTTGTGCCGATAATTTAAAACCCTCGGCGCGCATACGCCGCGAGGGTCCGTCTGTCCGCCTGTCCGTCCGTTACCACGTTTTCTGCCACCACGCGCAACAAACAGGTAAAATAGCGACACCAACGGCTACACTGGCTTGATTTTAAAAATGGCGATTTTCGTAAAAGTGCCGCGTTCAGAAGTTATGGCGTGAAAACCAAGCGACCTGATCCGCTTTATATGTGTACCTCGGAGGAACAAGATGTCACAACGAAGGGCGTGTATCGACTCCCGCATGCTATCTACTACTGCAGCTAGCCAGTGTCAGATTCTCCGCGAGCTACTAGCGGGAGATCACGAGTAAACGCATACTAATAAGCCCAGCCCATCAATTAGCGGTACCGCGCATGCGCAGTTCGCCGAATGTCATAAAGCGCACGTGGGACGTTACGTTCTGTTGGCAGTGCGCACGCTTTGGGGGCGGAGCTTGTAGACGTTTCAAGGGCGTGGATTGCCAACTGTAAAAGATGGGCTTTTATATTATCCTGTGGCTGGGGGCTTGGTTGTTGCCTCTTGGAGTAGCTACGTTCTAGGACATACCTGTTACGCCAACGTTGGCCGTCCATGCCAGTGCGATTTCGTGTCCGAGCGCAGGAGACTCAACATTTCGTACTTCGAACAGTCAGTTATCAACTGGGAGGCTGCTATAGTTTTGGTTTCCGTCCCAATGTCCTTAGCCAGCTATAGCTAACCCTTGCTACTCTACTAACTGTCAGTCCCAGGATAATAATGTGTGTTCCTTCCTTATGTCTGCAAGATCAGCTACTTTATTGCAGTCTTCCTGAGCTGACTTTTTTTGCAGGCTGATTGTCACAGCTGGCGATCTACATTTCACATACAGTCCTTGCCATGACTTCCAGTGCAATTCCAAAGGAACTGATGTGCGGGTATGGTGGCTCATTCTCTCTGTTGACATGCAATGACATTGCTTACTACCCAGCCATGTTGAACTGGATATGGAGATCACATAATACCCATCCTCAACCTGTGTAGTGCACATGTGTATTGAGAGTCGGGATATTCATATCAAATGCACATAGCATTAATGAGCTTGGAGGAGTAATCACTTTAATAATTGTATCAAAGGCATTGCAACAGAGTAAAGCGATCAGCCCCCGAACAGACCTAGCTACATTTGAACGGTTGTATATACTAACTTTTTATGCATACCTTGCAACAAAGGAAATTCCCCTACAAGTGGATGTGAGTCCTGTGTAGTTAGATTCCACAATTTCAAAGTCTTCTGAGCCACTGCATTCGGGGATTGCGTAATTGACTCATAGGGCCCACTATACACCCACAATGGGTTACAAAGGTCAAACAGCATGAACAACATTTACTCAGAGAAACTGTAAACAAGTAATAACCAGACCCAAAATAACCAGACCCCAGCTTGCTGTATACGATGTTAGTGAGCCGTGAACCCTTGGAGTAGAAACTATTAACACAATAGCCTGTGGTATGTGCATATGACCTCTTGGTGATACCAAAGCAAAAGGTTTTCAAGGTAAAAAAAGTGCAAATGCGCAGAAAACACGTGGAGCAGTGAGAAAAACGTGCCAATGCACAGAAAACAGTTAAAAACGTGCAAAAAATGTGTTGCAGCTAGAAAAATGTGCAGAAACGCCCAAATACGGGTATATACCATATAAAGTTAGAGCCAAATTGTAGATCTGTTCAGGAGTTGATCACTTGCCCTATAATGTTTTGTATCTCATGTGTTTAGATATGTCTCTATGAAACCACCACCAAAGAGTACCTTGGAATTGGAAGGATAACCAACTACCACCACAACAATCCATGGACACTTAACTCTCTGTCTCCCTTGATCTTCACCATCCAGTACAATGGTGGAGACGAGATAAAAACATCAAGTGGCATATACAAACTGACGTACGTTTTGAAACAATGAGTAGTCTTGATGCATGACTTTCAATGCTGTTGTTGCAGATATTCTACAGTGAAAATCACGTATAACGAAAGTCTGAATGAGTCTATTTTCACTTACGTGGGGTCTGAAGATCATGGTCAAGGGTTGTACAGCTATAGACATTATGTAAGTCAGTCAATGTGCAATGATCTTCATCCATTAATTTAACCCTTACCAAGCCGCGGGCATATATAATATATATATAATATATATGCCCAGAGCCTCCACAAGTCCATAAGAATTTTTTTATGGCTAAAATACTAGGCGTTAATATGTTATACATCGATTTCTGCTTATTTAAAGAGATACCCATGGCGTCCAAAGGGTTAATCCTAAAAAAATATTATGTGCATGAGTCATGGGGTTAACCCAAGCATTTCAATGATATCTTGTAAGTCCATATGTTCCACAGGGTCTTTTTACACAGAGTGTATTCTCGTTTCCTGCAGGAATTTGAACTCGAAACCTCTGACATCATGGTAGAAGATCTTCCAGGTGCTCCTTCCAGTCAGTCTTGGATAGCGGGAGCTGTCCTTGGATCCTGGTCAGTCAGTTGGTGCTGCAATTTTTGATTAGTTTGGGTGGGTTTTTTATTTACCTTGCCTATACTAGGCAAGCGATGCGAGTCCCACTTAGTCAACTGAACAAATGTACGGGCATTGCCATTTACCATAATATTGTGCGTGACTTTTCGTGCGATAAAGTACATTAAAAATCTAGTAACTATTTACTTTATTTCTTATGATAATTATTCTCCTTAAAACATGCATGAGTCAAGAGTGATTGCATGAAATGTTACATCAAAAAGACCTGTGGCTCTTCATAATACAGTATATGGAACATCCAATAAAAGAAACTACCAAATAAACGACACAATAGTAAAAACCTCTCAATATACAATTTTCGAGAACCAAAGAGAGCACAACAAACTTTCCATATAATGACAAAACCAACGCTTCTATTATTCAGATGTTCCACTGTAAACATGAGGCAGCATTATTTGGACAATTGACATCTAAAAAGATCCGTTTACATTATTCACAGGGTGTTCCTGGTGTTAGTGTTGGCAGCAGTAATCGTAACCATCATCTGGGTCAATATCAAACTTTACAAAAGAAGAGAGAATTATGAGCAATTGGCAAACAATAATGCTGTTAACAATGTAACATAGCTATGTATCATCAAGCAACCTGATGTACCAAATAGGTTCATGATTCATTACTTTTTATTGTGGATGTGTGTTTTCCTATCTATATAATTATTGTTTACACAATGTTTTTCACATCTAATTAACTGTATCCTGCGTAGTTTTATGTAGCTGGTCTGCAAGCAATTTTGTCTCATAATGGAAAAAGAGATCCAACAATGGCCCGAGCTTCGATGAAACCAGTCCTAGTAACTGTGATTGATCAGTCTACCCAGCATCGATCCCCACTCTCTGTTGTTCTCTTTTGTTTTTTAACCTCCCCTGTGCAGGCATGTGCAGTGCAAGTTATTGTTGTTAGTTTGTGTGTGTGTGTGTGTTTGTGTGGGGGAAGATAAAAGAAAGGAGAGAGTGCTAGGGATTGAGATGGCTTTTGTCCGTGGTCACATGCATTGGCTTTTGAATGACTGTACATGGCAGTCCCACTATACCCATCTCCAAACCCAACAACCAACAAACCCTGTCTCTCTGTCTTGTTTTGTCTGTCATGCACCAGCAGATCATCGTGTAGGTCACAGGTCCCTTTAATCTCCTGACCTGTGCCTCACTACCACTGAGGCGGGACCACTCCCACGTGACAAGATTAGACAAAATACACATACCTGCCTTGAGTCATATATACCTGCTGGCATCTTCTTCCAACCACCGCATGGAGTATATACCAATAATTGTGTGGGCAGCTGAGCACACGCATGGTTTTTTACTACAATTATAGGGATGGCAACGGGGATTTTTACTCTGAATGTGTATGTGTGTACGTGTGTTTGTGAATGGGGAAAAAGTAAAGTGTAGGCAGGACTAAAGCTAACGAGAGAGAGTGGGTGGCTTTTGTCGGCATCACCACATGCAGCCAGCCAGGTCCTTAATGTACATGTAAACCTATCCACAAGTCCAGCAACATGCAGGTGCAGGTCATCAGCAGGGAGTTCCCAATCTTTCACCATGTCACACGTGTTTCGGCCTCTTTAAACTCCCGACATATGAGACACTCCAGAAAGGGCGAGGCCACTCCACCTGGTTGGAGTCCAGATTTTCTTACTATGGCTATATGCAATTATTGTACTTACAAACTAACCTAAGTTACATAAAGGCAACTTTACAGTGGCAGATCTAGGATTTTGAAAGGGGGTTCTGTTTTGACTGTGCTTGTGCGTGTATACAAGGCCGGCGACGCATGCGCACAAAACAATAAAAAGGGGGGTTCCGCGGAACCCAAGGAACCCCCCTGGATCCGCCACTGCTTTAGTATACTAGCTATCATTAGTAGTGACTTGCTTCATATCTTTGGTCCTCTCTATTCTTCACTTCTTTCTTTCTTCACTCATGCTCCTAACTTAGCTAGCTACTACAGGCTTGTTGTGGATGTTATGTCTACTAAAGTCAGAACACTTCCCATGCTGTTAGCTAATTAGAGTGACAAACTTGTGTGTAGTGTTATCTGATGGGGAGAGAAGAGAGAGAGGGTAAAGAGTAAAAGTGTAGGTAGAGACTAAAGCGACGAGCGCGGGCGGCTGTCGGCGTCACGATGCAGCCAGCAGGTGTTAAATAATGTATAAACCTATCACAGTCCAGCACATGCAGGTGCGTGCTAGGCTCTTTGTTACTGGTCATCAGGGGAGTTCCCAATCTTTCACCAGTTCACAAGCGTTTCGGCCTCTTTATAAACTCCGGACACGTGGGACAGAAAGGGCGAGGCCACTCCACCTGGTGCGAGTCCAGATTTGCCTACTACGTGGCTACAATTACTGGTATTACAAACTAACTACATTATATGGAAGGCAATTTTAGTAAGCAGCTACGTACTTAGTAATAACTTGCTCATTCTTTGGTCTTCTATTCTTCACTTCTTTCTTTCTCACTCTTGCTCCTAACTGAGCTACAGGCAAGCTTGGCTGTTTTATACCTTGTTGTGGATGTTATGTCTACTAAAGTTCAAAACTTCCCTGCTGTTAATTAGGGTGGGGTGTGTGTGTGTGTGTGAAAATTTTTTGGTGGTGGGTGGGGTGTGGGGTGGGGGGGTGGGGTTCGACAGGCTGACACTGAGAGTAGGATCGCTTGGCTCGGGGGGACTGAGGTCTGTCTAAACAACGCTGAACGACCGAAGTCAGCGTGTGTGTGTGTGTGTGTTTATGTCACTGGCACTCGGGGTTCCCATCCACAAGTCAACTGTTCTTTTATTGACTATGGGGGTTACATATTGTCCTGAGGGACTTCCAAAAAGACATAAAGGCTGTGGTCATTGATCTTTCGGATGATAGCAGCCACACCTCTTTTCCAAGGACAGTGATATCTCCTGACTATAATGGCTCTGCCACTTAGCTAGTGCCCACTCAGCTGTGGAATGCGTTTTCACAAGGAGCCCAGCAGTAAACTTTTTAACTCTAGAAGTCTTTATAAAAAGTTTTACTGCAAAGCTCCTTGTAAAACCTCAATGCCAATGCATTCCTCATCTGTTTAGCAAGACCAGTTTTTCCATCATCTATCAGCAGGGTCAGGCCCTTGTTCCTGGGGCCTGGTAATAATATTATGTATATACCCATGAGCCAGTTTAGGTCAATTTCCACTTATGCGTGCAAAGATTAATTTGGGAAACTAAGATCCATGCCAGAGTTTGATAAATTCGGCTACGTACCACGAGCACCGACTGTTAATAGCACACCGTCATGTGGGCCGGTCCTGAGTTCGACTGATCGTTCCAACATGCACATCAAGTAAATGATGGACCCGTAACGAGTCTATAACACAGACGACAATTCTTGGAGTCCGCACCACACAACGCGGCGAACTCCGGCCGGTAAGACGGCTTGAAAGGCGGCGTGAAAACGCAACTATACGTCAGCTGCACGGAACAGCCACGGTGATGGGCTAGTCTCGCAGGAGAGTGGCTGGCTGACCCCCGGAGCCACACCCCTTCATATGCTGAGGAGTTGGAAGGCGTGGCTCGCTCCGTGCGCCACCCACACACGAACGTCAACGACCCGTGACGTAAGGTATGCGGAAACGGGGACCCTGTACGCACGCCCCTTTAGCTCGAGAAAGAAAGAGGCAGAGTGAGATATCAAGACAGAGCAGCGGTGGATTTCGACTACAGAAGAGTAAGATCCTACTAGGTGAATGCAGTGCATTTTTGGCGAGCGGGAGCGATCCAACGCGCGTAAATAGTGGTTACGTCTCTGCGTTCCGCCGATCAGCGGTTCTCATCCGTGTGTCCCTCTCCGCGGATGATCGTGCTGTACCCCACGCTCCTCCCCGTCTACGTTCGACAGCGCTCTCCCTCCTGCCGTTCAAAGAGACGCCCATTGGACAGGCGCGTCTCCCTCTCCTCGGCCGTCTCAGAAGCAAGACGCTGTCTCCGGCGAGTAATACGGTGTAGCGGTATAATATCGCCGCTGTCGGGCCTCCACGGTGTGAATCTAAGCTAGTAGCAATATCATTGTATTGCTACCAGCTTCGATTCACGTGCAACATTTAGGTATCGGTGGCTACCGGTATACATCTTTATCGTATGGTAGTATATATACTTCGTAGATGGGCAGAATCATGGATGTCTATGGGAAAGAATTTCATCAGATTGTATAATTATAACAAAGCTATGAATTTTTTTAGGAATGTAGATATTCAGAACGGATGTGCAACGTCATACTTGTTTGTTTGTAAATTTACTGTAAACAACAACAAATAGCCCCAGGCAAGACATTATAATGGGGACACATGTGTTAGTATAACTCACCAATGCTAAGAGCAAAAAACAAATATATAGCACAGCCTCTTCACTCCTCAAACTTGCTATGGTAGCAGGCATGGGGGTAAGAGTTGGTATGCATGCGTATATATTACATCGTTTACATGAAGACCACATATTGCTTGCAAATAGCCTCCACTTTACTTCTTCAATCCTCAAACTTGCTAATGGTAGCACGCATGGAGATGAAACTTGGTGCGCATGCATATTACCATGACAACCACATGTTTGTAAACAACAATTGCCTATTACTAACCCTCGGCGCGCATGCACAGCGAGGGTTACAGTACTTGGTCTGTCTGTCCGTCCATCTTTCCGTCTGTTAACACGTTTTCTGACACCACGCGCAACAAACAGGCAAAAAAGTGACACCAACGGGTTGAGCGCTACACTGGCTTCATTTTTAAAATGGCGATTTTCCTAAAAGTACTGTGTTCTAAAGTCATGGCGTGAAAACCAAGTGAATGAGCCAATATGCTAATTAGCACAGGCTTACCTCAACCGGGTCCGCTTGCTCTGTGTACCTTGGAGGCACAAGAAGTCGACAAAAGGCGTGTATCGACTCCCGCATGCTATATATCTACTGCTGTATAGCTAGCCCGTGTCATACTCTCCGCGAACTACTTAGCGGGAGACCACGAGTAAATGCATACTAATAGCAATTATAGGTACCACGTATGTGCAGTTCGCCGAGGGTTTGCACTTTAGTATTATTTATTTTCACAAAGATGTAGAGTAAGCCACCGATAATCGGACGCCATGTATTCTCGGACGCATTTGTGAAGTCTGTGCAGGACTATATTGGCTACTGTGTATACCAAAGTGTAGTTCTTGGTCATAAACTGTTGTATAAAAATATTCGCTCTTATCCGAGCTTTACCGTGGGAATGACGTTGCCGTAAAGTTACGATTCGGGCACAGCAAAGTTCGGACAAGGCCATCAAAGGTAGGACAGTCTCCCAAAACGGGAACAGTATGAATGATCCAAGCGAGTGTATGCTCGATTGATAGCTGTACCTTTTGGCTATGCAGCGACCCACAAATGGCCCTTTTTTCTCTTCGCTGTTTTTGCTCACGAAAGCGACAATAGGCGGGGTCGCGTAAGCCGCGTTTTACGCGAAAAGCAGTTTCGGCTTGTTTCTTCTAACACACGCGCCGGATGAAGCTATAAAATTTTCTCCTCGTTCTTCTTGCCTTATATTAGATGCCTGCAGCACGATTTCCGTTTTTGTGAGATCTAACTTTTTATTGGTAATTACAAATTGTAATTACAAAAAATTAAAATCTTACAACAACGGAAATCGTGGTGCAGGCATCTAATATAAGGCAAGAAGAACGAGGAGAAAATTTTATAGCTTCATCCGGCGCGTGTGTTAGAAGAA